ATTGACTATTTTTGAATAAAAATAATCCAAAAATTTGATGCTTTATATTTCACTAAATCAATTGATTAAAAAGTCTGTATATAAAATATAATAGATAATAATTTTTAATAGTGACTTTTTCAGCTCTAGTTTCTTTCAAATACATTCAAGCTTTGGATGCTAGGATGAGTAAGTTTAGGTTTTTGGATATGGATTTGGTGCAAATTTTATGTGATTTGGAGTTTTTATGAAAGAATCATTGGCGCTAAAAGTTAAGGTATTAATTTCATACCTATTGTCACTCTTTTGAGCATAATATACACTTAAAGAAAGCAACAAGAGATCGATGACCACGGTTGGAAAGAACTTTTTCTCAGCTATATTATTCATATACTATTTGATGAATTCTAAGTTTGAATGAAGGAGTTATAATATGTTGAAGATAGCACATGTAAATCAAAGGCAATAAGTGAGTGTCACGGACATACTCATGTAAGCCAGTAATTACATATATAAATAAGTAGAAATAAATAAAAGTAGATAAAAGTAAGTTAATTCTATAGTATTTAATAAAGAAGCTTCCTAAAAGCTTCATAGATACTGCTTTGACTTTATAGGTATCTTTAATTGACTTTTTGGATTAGAAACGTGGTCAATAACTTGGCAATGTGCCACACATGTTGTTAGCTTAAAGACCAAGCTAATAATATAGCCCACACATAGAAAAACTTACCTTGTAAGTCAAGGCATGTGTCCTACAAAGTCAACACTTATTGGAGGTCCTATAGAACGTCGCCACGTAGCTCCTAGTTAGATAGTATATATAGAGACAAGAGTGAAGCCTTCTTCACTCTTGTCAACTCCTTTGTTGCTTCCAGTCTAGTTTTAAGGGTCTCTAGTATTCTTGTCTTTTGGCAATAGCCATTCCAGTTTCTCTTTCAATATATATACTTGTTTATTTATATTTTATTACCTTTCTTTGAGTGAAGGTTCACTTGTCTGAATTACTTTTTCATCGAGTTCTTGTTCTTGACAGATTGATAAGAGTACATCTACAATATCAAAACTTTGTCTAATCTTGATTAAGAGTGGATTATCCCTTTTTCTTGATAAGATATAAGCATATTAGAAGTTGCAAATTACCCTCTTCTAAAATAATATTGTCATTAGTATTTTCTTTGTTCTCAAGTCCTCTCTTCTATTTGTCTTGAGAAATATTAGACATCTTCTCTTTTCTAAGTATTATCATGGAAAAACTTATTGAAATGAAGAGTGCAATGGCACAAATACAAGAACAATTGAGGGAGTTAATGCTTGTGATGCAACAACTCAATTTACGACCACAAGAAGCAACAAGATTGGCAGGAAGTGAAGATATAGAAATGGTTGGAACAGCTTCAACATCTCCACCAAATCATGTCCATTTTCTTATGGTGGAACGTCCTTCCAGTGTTAGAAAACCAAGAATTGTCCTACCCGAGAAGTTTGATGGCACCAGATCCAAGTTTCGAGGATTTATCAATCAAGTACAATTTGTAATTGAACTTCAACCCCAAAGCTATCCAACTCCAAGATCACAAGTTAGATTCATTGGTACGCTTCTTTTAGGTTCAGCACTAATGTGGTTTTTATCTTTTCTTGAACGACGAGATCCAATATTGGATAATCTAGAGGCTTTTCTAGCAGAGTTTTGATCTATGCATGGAAAACATGATGCAATTCGTGTTACAACAAATAAGATTTATATTTTATGACAAAGCAATTGATCAGTAACGTTGTATGCTTCACAATTTTGACAACTTACAACTGATATTAAGTAGGATGATGCTACTTTTATTAGCCAATTTCTCTTCGGATTACAATATGAGGTAAAAAAAATAATGCTCAACTTACCTGATCCTCAAACATTGAGTCAAGCAATTGACCTTACTGTGAAGTGCGACAATCACTTTTTTGAATTTTGATCTGAAAAACGTACAAGTGGACATCAACATTACTATAATTCAATGACAACACGTCTTCAACACATACATTCGGAAGTAGAGGATATGCAAATTGATGCAGTACGTTTCAAACTTCTTATTAAGCAAGAAAAGACTCGTCGTTGTCAAGAAGGATTATGTTTATATTATGGAGAACCAAAGCACACTGCTCAACATTGTCCAAAGAAACGACGTAATCACAAAATGAGGAGTATGGCTGTGAAAGAAGACAATATGTCGGAAAACGAGCTTGTCCAGCTACAATAGGGACCGTGCGGTTGGAACCTTGCACAACATCTAGTAAAGGTCCTATTCTCTTCTCAGAGCCCTCTCATTGTTTTACATTAAATGTTATTTTAGGACCTTCTTTATAAAAGAAACAACATCTAGGCAAGATAACATTCTACTTTTAATCCTTGTTTGTAGCTTCTTTGTAGTTGTGACGCTCAAGAGATGGAGAACCAATAACCAGTGGATTCGACTCAAGAGCCTTCATTTGCTGACTTACCAAACGAGACATTACGATTATCACAACCTTCAAGATGATACAATCGAGATGAAGATCTTCAAGAACGACATGTTCTTCCTCGAATAGATGGCGAGATACAACGCGTTTGGTATCACGATTTGGGAAGGGACTCCCGATGTTTGGTGATTTTGTTAGAGGTAGGAACAACTCCTGATGGTGTTTCAAATGTTCTATTTGAAGGAAGTTATGAAGGCCTCAACAATGATCAAATAACTGAGTGGTCTTTTCGCCTTGGTATGGGACACTACCGATGGTTGAGAGGCCCTATCAATCATCTTCGAAGAGAACAAAGATCAGAGTATGTGGCGAATATAATTCGTTGCATCATAGATTTTCTCAACATATGATGACCGCTCCTTGTGGAATTCGTCCCTAGAAGGAGGGATAATGTCACAGACATACTCATGTAAGCTAGTAATTACATGTACAAATAGGTGGAAGTAAGTAAAAGTAGGTAAAAGTAAGTTAATTCTATAGTATTTAATATGGAAGCTTCCTAGAAGCTTTATAGACATTGTTTTCACTTCATACGTGTCTTTAATTGACGTTTTGGATTAGAAACGTAGTCAACAAGTTGGCCATGTGCCACACATGTTGTTAGCTTCAAGATCAAGCTAACTATGTGGCCCACACGTAGAAAAACTTACCTTGTAAGTCAAGGCATGTGTCCTACAAAGTCAACACATATTGGAGGTCCTATAGAACGTCGCCACGTAGCCCCTAGTTAGATAGTATATATAGAGACAAGAGTGAAGGCTTCTTCACTCTTGTCAACTCCTTTGTTGCTTCCAGTCTAATTTTAAGGGTCTCTAGTATTCTTGTCTTTTGGCAATAGCCATTCCAGTTTCTCTTTCAATATATATACTTATTTATTTATATTTTGTTACCTTTCTTTGCATGAAGGCTCACTTGTCTGAATTACTTTTTTATCGAGTTCTTTTCCTTGACAGTGAGTGATTTTATTCATAGTAATGCTTGGAGCCATATCTTAAGTTTTCGGACAAATTTTTGGTTCAAACCTTTTAGAAAATGTAGATTAATGTGTTAAAAAACTATGTATATAAATTTTGTGGTATTTGAATGTTTAATTTGTGAGATATGAAGAAAATTGCACGCGAGTGTATAAAAACTAGATTTTGAAGCTACTATTAGGATTTTGGCGATATCTTTAGATCCAAAACAAATTTGCAATTGAAATGTATTGTGGCACTTCGTAGAAGTACATCTCTACTTCATTTTAAATTTGAATGTGTTTGAATGGTCGGATTGGAAGATATGAGTTGTTGAAGTTTGAGAATAATATCCTATAAGAATATATCTATATATATATATATATATATATATATATATATATATATGGATTTAGAAATTTTTATCATATTTTGGATGTTTTTGGAACTTAAGACTTATATATTTGGTATAATTACTCCTAAAAGTATATATATATATATATATATATATATTGATACAAACTTGGTCTTTCTTATCTTAAGACTTGATTGAGCAATTAGTAATAGTCAAGAGCCTAGTGCTTTCCTAAGGCAAATTCTCTCTACTCTGACAATAGTTGGAAACAAGGGAATGGTTAGGAACAAAGGAACCATTAGAAACAGGTCATGTGAGTCTATTTAGTAAAATTTTGGGTCGCTTTATCATTTTTCTATATTTATTTTGTTAAATTAGTTTAATAATACTTATTTATTTTATATAAAAAAATAACATGACCATAATGTTATTATTATATATCAATAGAAGTAATATGTTTACACAGTCTTTTATAAATAGATAACTATTTAAAAAAAATTATACTAAAATAAATAAAAATAAAAATTTAATTATGAATAATACTAGTTTTATGTTATTCTTATGCATATTGATTTTTTTAAATAGTACTTTATTAGTTTTATTGTAACATGTAAAATCAAAATTAATAAAAATTTTGATTGACCAAATAATTAAATTAAAAAATATATTATTTTTAGAAATTCAAAAATATTGTATTCTACTACAAAAGCCAACAAATCTCAGTTCTTATTCATCAATAATAAATACATCATGAACACATTACATGTTCATTGCAATAATTTCAAATTATAGTTTCAAATAGAATTAACATCTTGGTTTTGAAACTTATCCACATTTAGCTAATTAAAGCAGGTTCAGGGTTTTAGGATCAGGGTTTAGGGGTTGACACATTACGGACATATGCATACACACTATCAAAAAGCTACAGGCTGTCAAAAAGTAGAAAACACCATACTGGCCTGGGAAAAAAGTAAGCTACCACCAAAGTACATAGAAAGGAAAAGTTTGGGTTGATCCAGGAACCGAACTCTGGCAGGTAGGCAGGCAGGTACTGAGATTTGGCTGTAGATGTTTCCAGCCTCAAGTTTCTATCCACGCTGGCGCATTTCGAGAACAAGATAAGGGAACAAAACCGCACGTTTCCAATACGTATACCAAATACCATATGTGGTATAATACGAACACGCCAGAAAAAAATACAATCCGATTTCCTGACCACGCGCTGCCGTTGCTCGCTGTGTCTCGCTAATCCGGCCTCTCGGAGGCAAATCCTCGTCCATTTCTGGGTCGCTGGCACTGCTGTGAGCATATGTGAGCTCTCGAGCTATCGCAGAATCTCTAGAATCTCATTGCAACAATTGGGTTTCTTTCAATTTGGTGAACAATGACGACTTCTGCGGCGTCGATGCTGCTGGAGTTTTCTTCTCTGAGTGTTGCGGCGTCGGGCGCTGCAGTGAACAAGAGCGGAGGCGTGCCGCAGAGCAGCGGAGTGAGCTCCAGAGTGAGCTGGAGTGGGTTGAGAGCCGGAGGTTTGCAAGTTGGGGGCGTGAAGACATGGCGGGATGTGAAGAAGGTGGTGGGAGCGAAGGCGCGCGTGTGCGCTGTCGCGGAGCTGTTTGAGTCCGAGGTTTTGGGCTCGGAGGGCGACGGCGCTGAGGCCGCGGAGGCCCCCGTTAAGGCTGTCAAGCCCAAGACGGGCAAGGCCGCTTTGCCTTTGAAGAGTGATAGGGTGAGCCTGACATTTTCTCCACGTCTCAGTTCAATGGTCTCTCGTAATGTATATCTACAGCTCTGCCTAAATTTTTGGTGAGGACTGTGGCAATCCTTGAATTGCGACGTTTGCTGGGCTTCGTGGGTCATCCTCTACATCAGCACTTGTTTCCCTTGTCGTCGGACTACATTGCTGCTTGAGCCGTTAGCCTGCTCTCGCACTTGGAATCATGGGGTTTTATGAGTCATTCTAGCAGTCTGTGTTGGATTAGGCGGCAATTCGTAGTGTGGTTTCTGGTGACGTCTTCTTTCGTTTGGAATCTAGGGTGCTCCACTTGCCTTATTCCTAGTGAATCTTTAATCTTGGAACTGAAAATTTGCTCTGGCAGCTGGTTGCAATGTCAATGTGACCTATTCCTTTGATGCGTGTCTTCTCCTTTAGAGGGTTCAGTGCTACTAGCTGTAGATGATCAATCCACTATGGTTTCTCTGCTGGAGAATCCGCCATGAGCGTATGTTTCATTGTATTTCCGGATGCCCTCGATGCGAGAAACTCTTAGGATTTGTCTTGATACTGTAGATTCTAATGGTCATCACTATCTTATCCATGTGCCCTTCGAGTGAATTCCATTCGATTCTTGTCACAGTGTTGCAAGTCTTGTAGGAATGCCTTGGCTTGTAGTGGTTTGCTCTCTGTAAAAGTGGTGGTTATGTATGATGGAACTTGGAGAACAAGTCTCTACCGAGCGTAAGATTGAACAACCTGCAGCCCGTCACATTCTAAGATGGTGTTGAAGAGCTTGAGATTGTTTGAAGTGACAATATATTTATTGATCGAATAATCAATTTGGATTTGACAGACAAGGTCAAAAAGGTACTTGGAGATTCAGAAGCTTAGGGAAAAGAAAAAGGAGTACGACCCTGACACAGCAGTTCGGCTGCTCAAGGATACAGCTAGCTTAAAATTCGTTGAAACTGTGGAGGTTCATATCCGCCTCAACATCGACCCTAAATACACGGATCAGCAATTGCGTGCCACTGTAAGCCTCCTGTCTAGTATCAACATTTGAAAGAACTTCGGCTTGTTATTTGTGGGGCATTCGTCCAGTCGATCCATGCCTTTCCATTCTCAGGTGAATACATGTGGATAAGTTCGGATATGTCTTCTGTTTGGTGTAAGTCACAATGAGCTACGCCATGGTTAATTGTTTACTGATCGCAAACCTGGTTTCGCAACGATATTGCAGGTATCATTGCCAAAAGGAACAGGACAAACTATCAGAGTCGCCGTCCTTACCCAGGGTGAGTGTGCACGTCTCACTTATGTAGTTGACATTCATAGAAAATTTCAAATTTCAAAACCCTGGTCTTAGTAGTTCTGGCTTAATTGCAAATTATCCGTAGGTGGCAGAATTGCTTTTATTTCGTGCTCTTGATAGAGCAGACACTCCCTGGACTCAATATAAGTTAGCATTTACTGATGACATAGATCTCTTGAACTCATAGCACACTGAACAATCAGGCAACTTTCTGCTTGGTAAAGTAGTGACACTAAGGTGGTCATCCGTTTTTTTTGTGGCAGGAGAAAAGCAACAGGAAGCAAAGAATGCTGGTGCTGACTTTGTAGGAGCTGACGATTTAATTGACGAGATTGCTCGTGGTATGATGGACTTCGACAAGCTCATTGCTACCCCGGATATGATGCCCAAGGTTCAACTCTTCCTAATCGAGGACACCTTTGCATACGCTATTTCATCGGCTTAGGCTTTAAACGAAGTCTCTTAGAAATGTTGTCTCATTTCTCACTTCCACGTACAGAGGAATTGTTATGCAATTTTATATATATATATATATATATATATATGAATCCAGAGGGGGAGAGAGGTTGTTTTATGCTCAACCTTGCTGCATGTGACAGGTTGCCAAACTTGGAAGACTTCTTGGTCCAAGGGGTTTGATGCCCAATCCCAAGGCAGGGACCGTTACCACTGACGTCACTAGTGTACGTACCTGAATTCCTTGAACTTCTCTGAACACGTATGTAAGTTGTTTTGCTGTGAATATTGCTGAGATTAGCGATTGATTTTCCTTCTTTAATTTTTTTAAAAAAACTAAGTCATTAATCTGTTATTATATGTATTTCCTTGCGATTTACTAGGTTGGACTGACCACTCCTTATAGACAGTATATGTACCTGATGTTTTTCACGAGCTGAACAAGGATGTGAACGCACACACAGCACTAACAAGCACTTGTAAACCTCTTGCAGGCCATCGGAGAATTCAAGGCGGGTAAAGTGGAGTACCGAGCGGACAAGACCGGTATCGTCCATGTGCGGTTCGGCAAATCCGATTTCTCGGCAGATGATCTTCTGGAGAATCTAATCGCCGTTGTGGTACAGTTCGCTGACTAAAACCACCTCTTGCATTTTTTGAGATGGGTTTTCTTTTTTCTCTTCATGTGTCATTGATTTATGACGATGTTGATTTGTATCTTTGAATGACGAAATTCCTTGTTAACACGCTTTGCATTCAATGTGTTATCGTCTATGTTCTAACCAGTCGTTTTTCTCTCCTTTTAGAACTCTGTAGATGCAAACAAGCCCTCAGGAGCCAAGGGCGTGTACTGGAAGTCAGCCCACGTTTGCTCGACTATGGGCCCTTCCATCCGCATCAACGTCTCGGAGTTGAGGGACTACAAGGTCAAGCAACAAGCGTAGAGAGGAATACCAGTTTTCATCCTTCATCCCACGCTCTAGTTTTGTTAGTTGGAGTATAACTTTGTGTAGGCTCAATATGTAGTGATTTTAACCCTGCCTACATGGACCTGTCTTCCTAACTGGAAGTTGTACTCCTAGCAATCGCTCCAGGACTTGGACCTTGAATCACAATTTTAAGATAGGACCAAGAGGAAATCCCGTCATCGTTATTAATCATCTATTGTTTTGAGAATAGTTTTCCTTAGACTAGTAGGAGAGAGTGCCCCCCAGTGTATTGCCATTTGTGCAGAACATTGTTGCTCATGTGGATATCAGTCAAGCTGTTGAGGTTCTCCGTTTTCCTATCGAGTACTCTTACTATTAAGATTTCAAGCTCTGATAAGCGCCACCCATCTATGAATGTTCGAAATGTGTAATCTAGAGGAGAAGAAGGTCAACTGCAGACTGAACTAGAAAAAGCACTTCTAGCTTCGCAGCTTGACTGTTTTTGACGAGACACGGCTCATGTTGCAGAGTCCCAACTTATGCTAATCGGAGTTACGTACACGTCGTAACCAAGTATCAACCAGTTCGAAGAGGTGAATTGACAACGTATTGAACCGTGAGTTTGAAATATATCCACCTCACTTCCGACTTTGTAGCAGAAGGGAGTGTTTCTCAAGATGTCAAGCCGCTTACGCTTCCTTTGAGCTGCGCAAAGCGAAATTGACAATAGGAAGCGGTCCAATTGAACAACATTTCATAAAAGAATTTGTGAGATTGACAGTAGCGATGCAGATCACGAGGTTCCGAGATATGCATACATCACTTAATCACAATTTGGAATTAACATCATCAACTAAAGTCGCACCATCAAAAGCTACACTCGTGGTAGCATTTATTCTCTCCACTGGATCCAAAATGCGCGTGGAAAGGAAGTTTGTGTGATGACGAATAAACAAATCTATGTACAACCACTTCATATTGAAGCTATTTGAGAATTAGACTGCATACTATATGCAACTACATACAGTTATGGGAACAAATTCACTTTAGTTGGTTCATTGAGGTTGATTCAAATCAATGGTTGTAAACTTTGAACTCTTACTGACAGATCGAAGCGCTGCGAATTAGATAAACAAGGTGTTTACAAATAATGTTTGGTTTGAGAAGCTGGCGTCTAATCTTCCGAATGGAGGGCGCACAAAACTTCTTCTTCCCGTTGCATTAAGAAATTCACCCGCAGTGTATGAAAGGTTAGTCTAGGTAATGTTCAAGTCAAGATAGTCTTGATTTCACAACAATATATATCTAACAATCATGCAATAAAGGGGTAGTATTGTGGTCTGTGGCAAAATAACCTCGCAGTTGCCCGACCGACCGTAGTTGTTATGACTTATAATCAAAGTCAAGTGGTAAGTCCTCGGGCCAACCATAGTCGTTCAAGAGTGTCAGAACAACACCGTTTGTCCACCCAAATCCAGTCTGAGTATCACCAGTAGCAGGGGTTATGATCAAATTGAATATTCAGAACCTTCACTTTACGTTACAAAGAGATAACATGAGTCACAATCGGCATCTAATCTTTTCTCGAAGACATTGCAACTAAACCACAAAAAAGTCCACAAAAGTCAACACTTTACCTGCGTTATATACTCTCCACCACCGCCAACCTCCCCACAATATCGAGCGTCGTATTTCTCAACCATGTGGCCAAAGCGTTGAAACGCTAAATAATTAGATCGCAACCAAGACCTGGTTATGCTCTCTGCCAACTCTCTTGCTTTAGGAGAACCTGACAAGATAAGTCCCTCAATGAGCATATGCTGCAGCGGAGCCCATGCATTTGGAAAGTCCCTGAAAATCGCAACCAAGACATATGAGTTTTCTAGAAGAGTCTACTGAAGAAAATGTTCTCTATTCATAGTCAGCCTAAATTGACAAGAACAAAATATGTCAGGGTTGTTATCCTCGGAGAACCAAGAACCAACGTGGAGAATGAAGGAGAGATTTAAATTGACGATCCTAGGATATCCCACATCAACTATGTTTACAGAACAATCGCATGTTTGATCTGGAGGACTCTATATCCATTCGGGGCATTTGCAAGAAACTGGTATTTGGGAATGACCGAAAGGACCTATTCAAACTGACTCTACCAGTAAATGAACTAATATTCAACCAACGTGCTGTCATCAACAGATATTCCCACTGAAGTGAAATAGAGGAAGTACAGACCACTGCTGTCCTGTCTTAATGAGCGAAGTTGCTATTCCACCAGGCAATATTAGGCCCGAACTGGACAGTGCCTCCACCACTTTATCAATTTTTGCATCTCCTGCTCACAAAGAACATCAAATCAGTGTAGTGACGTCCAAGAAATCATATGCGAAGTGCGCGCAGAATGTCAAACACACAAATTTAAATGATGATTTTCCAGTATTCGTAAGTCGCAAAAATAGTAAAGGTGTTCAACCTGCAGAAAGTAAACCGCACCACAAAGGAACAAAATTTGATGCATACACATTTTGGTTTGCTCTGTCGCTGTCCCACATGTAAATTTTCTGCAAGGCATTGAAAAACGGTAATTAGATGACACAATCATGAGCCAAAATAAACCTAAGAAGAATTCTTGCTCCACACAAAAGATAGTACCTTCACCCCTTTGACAGGCTTCTGCAAGGGGAGCCAATAGTCTAACCATTGACTCTTATTTTCATTCCAGAGTATCGCTTCAAACGCTCGTTTTCGAGCATCAACAGCCCTTGTGAAACGCTTCGCCACTGAAGTATTGTTCAATGCCTTTGCCAGGTACGCTATGTCGAGTTCCATCTGACATCGAAAGAGAGCATCGTTAACTTGAGATGAAATTGAGAAGCTGTAATATTCAATCTTGCCAGAATTGTATCACGACAAAACTACAATGATCCTTCCACAATGACTTGGGCAAAACAGAACAGCATTAGGAAAATTGCTAGGTTTTACTGGAGTTGATATTTCAGACGAAATGGAGCAATCTTTAGAGAAGATTAACTGCAAGATTTCCGTGACAAGCATGTCTCACCCTGTCCATTCTCGTTTCCATAAATCAAACATGATGCAAGGGTCAAGGGTTTAATTTACACCTGAAGAAGAAATGCGTTGAGATCCACGGGAATGATGGAGGAGGTTTTCATGGAAGACAACTGCTCCTGATCCCTGGGAGACAAATGAAATTGAAAAATTCAGGAGAGTTCCTGATTTGTTTCAGTCCGAATAAATTGTAACAAGAATCAATGTTCACATACATTTCTAATATAATTAGCGGTTGATAATTTGACAGACCATCATGCGACAGATAATGCTCTGCTTACTCCATCCATCTTGAGCTAAAATCCCAGCCCGACTCGGCTGCAGTGGCAATATCATGATAGAGCTGTTGTTGCTTCAACTTACTGAACCCTCCGGCAATGCATTTATCCTGAGTCAGAAAAATCACAATCCCAGATATTCAGCTACAAGTAGGTAAATTGCGGGTTCACAGTGCAAACCCCGAGAGAAATATTGAAATTAAAACGAAGGATTAAGGCTGCTAAGTCCATGGGCAAGGGACATAAGCAGCCATGATCTAGGAATGCTATGCTACCTGCAACAATATGACCATTACATTAGGAATAAGGCAATGCAGCATTTCCCAAACGCTATTTTGTGCCCGGGAAATGAGCACGAATGGCGGTATCTGTGAGAGAGTGACCATCCCATAGATCTTCGAATTCTTTTAAGAGTATGAAGCAGCCAATTTAGTGGGTAGGTTTCATGCGATGGCTTACAATGGTGGAACATTCAGGTCGGGGCTGATCCCAATGAGCACTGTAACGGCTGAGCCGATGATCACGTCCTTGACTGTCTCGTATTGTTACTACATGAGAGCCTGCATAAACTCAAAAGGAGAATTCACTTGCAAGATGTAACGGATTGGGACCGTTCCCACGCTACCGGTATGATAAATTAATAGATGAAAGGACAACGACAAGTCACCTGTGACCCAGAAATCATGTTCGACAAGAAGAAGTGGCAGCGCTCGTGTTGCCAGCTTAAGATCATCAGTTGCAGAAAATATTGCTCGCACCATCCTGCTTAGGAATGGAGGCTGACTACCTTCCACAGAAATACACACGGAGATTTCTAAGAAAGCTATATATGGGAAAGTAGTTTACGAGAATAGAGACGCCATTTTAAGTAAAAAAAACCTGAACTGGGTCAAGGTACGAGACACAACCAACCTACGATTTTCGTAATATGTTCTTGCACCATTTGGAAGAAAGCCATACGCTTGAACTACTGCCAAAAAGTTGTCTATCATTCCTGCTGCTGTCTTTTTCATTTTGCTTGCAAGTAATCCCCTGTTGAATAATGAGCGAGAATCCTCAGGAATATGCAAGAAGCAAGAGAAGATAATAGAGAGAATCGCCTCTGCGCTCACGTTACAGCGCTTTCCGATCACGCTGTAACAGGCGGGTTGGACGAAGGAGGACAAGAGTTCTGTTTCTCGTAAACGATGAAAGGTTTCTGGAGGAAGTAAATTACAAAAAAAATCAATAGAACAAGAGTGAAAAAACGGACCTGATGACCCAATAGCTGTCCCAGTAATATACCTCTCGGAACCGTTCTCCAGGTACTATAAAGGGGTGCTTTAGTGGAAGAAGCGTGTGTCGGTCTGGCTCCCTCTCCACGGTGGGGCAGACAAGGCGAGTAAGTGAAGGCCATAAAGAATGAACTTTCAGACCCCATTTACGCGCATCTGTATTCTGTACTCGAGGAAGAAAATCGGGAGGGTTCGCAAGGTGATCCTCCGGTGTATAAGGGACCAAATCACTGCCAGTTTCACCGAAGTAATCCTTCAAGAATGTCTTCAGAGTGTCTGCATCAAATCAATTTCACATAGATCAGTGCTACATATGTGCGAATGGATTACCAAATAACCTGACTGATACACATGAATACGTCGTTGTTAATGTTTGGCATTATTCCCGTCGTGGTAAACGAGGTCCTCACAGAATGAATCCTGATTTGATTTGCGATTCTTAGAACCCTCAAACAGCACTAATAATTTTAATCAACGAGATACCAAAGAGAGTACATCTGCCGTGACAAGCACATCTCCGCTGCAATGTTCCATCATCAACAAAAAAAAAATTAAATCATTTTGCCGCAGAATAGATCGTTGCTAAATTTGACTCTCTATAATAATTACATTCGGATTCGTCCACTGAACTCTTCAACAGTAATGTAAATCCCATTGCCAACGATGATCATAATAATTACAACAAAAAATTAAGATCATGGAAACAACAAATAATCCAATGAGGTTTTCAAATTCTCGGAGCCTGATCCTCTTGCAGGAAAATGATCGGAAACTAGAAGTCTATTCCCAAAATATATAAGACACCAAACTGAAGTCTACCAGCAACTCCAGCATTGAAATGTTATGACTTTCGTCAACAATCAGTCTATACTCAGTGCCGAAACAGAAAAAAATAAAAATAAAATCCGGTGGCCTGAAACAATCGACTCGTCAGAAGTACTACCATCACCACTTCTATCTGCAGAATTAAATCTCTCGGAATCCGAACCTCCCTCACTTCTATTAAGAAACCAAATCAACGAAAAAACATAAAACGAAAATGAAAAACCCGCGCTCGCAACATTCTACACTGACTCACAACTTTGGCAATTACCTCTGTCCACGGAACCAGTGATTGGAGCACGAGGTAGAGACCTGAACGCCTCCACAGTTTCCTTCAACGTACTCTTCAGGGGCAAGTCAACGTACAACTTGGGATCAAACTCAGCGTCACCGCCGAAGCTGTCCATCGCTGTGGACTGCAAGTCCATCAGGAAGCAGAGAAGCTCCCCGGCTCCATCGTCATAGACCCCCTCCCCGTATCCCCCGTCCTCTCCAAATTCTTCCACCATATCCACGATAAACCCATGCTCTTTCACACCACTATTTACCTTCTTCACCACCGCCCCGCTCTCCACGCACTCCTCATCATCCACAGACATTGCTAAAGCCTCCCACACTTCGCCTCAAAAACAATTTTGTACCTCTCTGTCTCCGCTTCTCTCTCAATCTCTCTCCCTAGCGATCAATCACCAGGAGCATGCATCAATGGACAGATCGAGGAAAGAGAAAAGACAGGAGCCATGCATCTGGCGACGCTTATTTGGGGGGCGAGGTTGGGCGAGACCAGTGCCTGGTAGGTACGAAGACAGGCGGGGCATGTAGCAGCCGTGGAGGTCGGTGATTCCGCCCTCCGAAATCACGCTGTTCTAATGGCGGTTTGCGCGAGGTAACGAACCGGACGAGCACCACTCCCACCTCTGACCTGAGAGAATTTTGTTGCAGACTCAGTGTCGGATTAGATTAGTAAGTTATGCATGTTGTTTAACAATAGCTTGAGGTTGTTTGTGGTGAAGCCCGTTCAACTGTAGCGTGCGCAAGTCACGGAATGAGGAGGGAATGCACAAGGAACAAGGCTAGGATTGTCGGGTACCTGCTCTTGGTAATCTCGATCCTGTCTCGTCATGGTTGTTTTTCGCCTTAGAGTGTGAATCCCGGCTTTCTTATTGTGGTAAAATTTTCACATTCATGTTTAAGGGATTCCAGGTTTCCTTCCTGGCTACCAACTGCGGTGTTGACTTGGACTATTTGGAGGAGACTGAGTTGAAGTCGTGGTTAGCAGATGCAATGCAAATCGGAGTAACTTCAAATTGAATGAGGAAGTTATTTTTTGGTGAAGTATTGTTTAAGTATTGTTTATGTGCTTTAATGAACGTCGCAAACAGTTACAAGCAGGCGCCGTAGTTGGCGTTACGGTCGATCCTGGCAAGGTGACTTAGACGGATGGAAGAGTCGGGCGAGACCATGTGGCGACGATGTGGGAGAGAGGACCCGACTGCAGAGAATAGAATGTTCGTTACCTTCGTCTTATTCAACTTTTGGCGCATGTGAACTGTTGAGATGAAACGATCGTTACGGAAACCACAGGGGGGCGGGATTCCGGTCCGGCGTGATTGTGCTCTCCGGTTGGGACCTTGCAATAGGTGCCGCAAGGCCACGTTTCAAGCGAGGAAAGGAGCAAATGCGCAGTACGATATCTTAATAATAATATTATAATTCTGATGATATTGGTTGTGAGTTTGGAGTTCTTTCCACTGTGTTTTCCACTGTGCTGCTCAGAGCTTCCACGCTTCCCTCCACGCCTGCAACATGGATGTCGCAACATGGCCTTGCATTGACGTGAAGGAAAATAACCCCCCCCCCGCTCAAACGGAGCTCTTTCTCGCACTGTTGCGACAGGCCTGCTCGATTTGAATTCATCCCTGCATGCCACATTGCTCCCTCAGCGCTCGACAGGTGGGATGTCCCGTACTCTCTCCTTCATTGCCCACGCTTTCGGGTAGAGAATTTGAAAACGAAGTGGGGATCATACTTTTTTGTAGTATATGTTGGATCGTGAAATCTGGACTTATGCAACTGTTGAGGGAGGGAGAGTTTTGAAATGGACAACCATGGCTTCCACGCCTTCATTCATCTTAATATATATGCATGAATGCTGACTCTACATCAGCATTTATGTAGCAGAATGATCTATCTATGACTGATTCTGTAATCTACGCTACGTCAATAGAAACACATAAAATACTTTGTTCAGTTGTCAAGTGTAGTGGGATTGATTTTTCAGTAACTTCTTTCTTCTCAGAAGTGCACTTGGGTTGTATAAATGGAAATCCAAAACTTAGCTCTCTCTCTGGTTGTTGTCCCCCCAAAGCCAGACTATAAGATATACAACTCCATCACGATCCCATGACACATGCCCTGTGGCTTGTGGAACAACTTCTTTAACTATTTGCCCACACAGAGCAGCAGATAAAAGGAGTAGGATGAGTATCCCTGCGTATTTTTCCCTTCTAATTCTTATTCTACCTTCATATTTGCCAACTAACTTACAATATCTTTGTTTTTGTGGTTTAACAAAAAAAGTAGTTCAGCATTGTTCCTTAACAAATGCTTTCTGTTAGTGATTGGTTGACAATAGGTCAAACTAATTATCTTCAATGAACTGATGGGGAACGTCGGGTTCATTCTAAGTTCCATTCATTGAGAACCTCATGTAATAGTGGGAAACTATTAAAAGTAAGTATTTTACATTCTTTTCTTTTTCTTTTTCTATTTTTTCCTTCTTTTTCTTCTTTCTCCTGGATATTCTTCAATGAGTGCTCAATCATGACAGTGCCCAGTTAGGGTTCAGCACATGCCTCCCCAGCTTGAACATAAAAACGATATTCCAAAATAAGTAAATTAATGTGTTGGTTACAAGTGAAGATCACTTTAGAGTTTCGAATTGCAAAAGCTCATTTGCAACTGTATTTTGTGGGATCGATAGTTGCTGCTCTTGCTGAAAGAATACTTAGAAAATAAACAGGGGTTTCATCACAGAAGTAGAAACAGCTTGTAAAATACATATATATATATATATGTATATATATGTTCTTTGTGTTGATCATATTACTTTTTTAACATCATTTTACTTTTTTGGAAAATGAAATAAAATATATGAACTTCTTCTGTAACTGTTTCCTTATCAGTTAACAGTTCATTTGAAAAGTATCACATCACCCAAAAAAGTAATCTTTGAATTGCAGAAGCAACTTACGACAGGCTTTTCTACCTTTTCCTTTTTTTTTTTTTTTTTTTTTTCTTAATCCGTACCATTAAAATAATTATTTTACTTTCTAGAAAATTAGCACAATCTCTAAATTACTCTAGATTTACACCTGTAAAACTTGAATGAATGCATGTATATATGCATGTATAACAACTCACTATGCAATCATATACAATTGACATATTGGAGATTAAAACATCAACTTTAATAGATCATTACACTATGGAATAGAATAGAAACACAAGGTAGAAAATAAGGCAACATATGAGGCTCAAAGAATTTAGTTTGGGAAAATAAGTAGTAAAAACAAAACATTTGAGCAATGTAACTAAGAGCCTACAACAAAATAAAAATAAAAACAAACCAAAACAAACCAAAACACATGCTGATGTTTTAATATGAGAATAGGTAGTAAAGATAAACACTTGTGAGGATGGATCATTTATGTGATATATCCACAATATAAGTGTAGGAGATAACTTTGAAAAGAAAATGGACAATCCAAGTTAAAATCTACCTAATATATATATATATATATATATATATATATATTGCAAATTTTGCTTTGATTACTTATTTATGGTTACTATCTTATAAACAATTGGCTATACATAATAACAACCAACATAATTGTGAAAGAATATTAAGCCAAAACATGTCTTATGACACAATCAATTTAAGAATCTTTTATCATTTTTATTTTATTTCTTATTTATTTTTTGAAGAATTAAACAATCTAATGCAATTATCTAAAAGAGTCAAGGAAATTCTAAAAATTATTAGAAGATGTTAAGATTATAGTTTTGTACATGTCCATGAGATTACTATTTCTTCTAATACCAAGTTCAACAATAATTTTTTAATTATCTATCTTTGTATATTTTTAAATATTAAAAATTTAATTTAATTATTTTTTAACATATATGCTATCTTTTGGTTTTTCTCTACATATATGTAATATTTTTAAATAAAAATTATAGCTACATTTCTCTAGCAAAATTAAAATTATTCTAATTATTTCGTTTAATTCCAAATCATTAGAATATCCTTAGAATTATTTTTTCTATCCTAGTTTTAATCTATTAGCTTGTAGCAATATAAGTAAAATTTGAATATCTGTTTTTGGGAATCTATACAATATATATATATATATATATATGTATCGAAATGTTACTTTTGATGCTCACATAGGCTCACAATATCTAAAAGATGTATTAGTAGTATAGACTTTGAGAACTATTATGGTTGATCTAATAACTATAACAAATAAGATTCATTTTAAAGATCTTATAACTATATTTGCATCTCTTAATTTGACATTTTGATCTTACAAATTTAAGATTATAAAACATTGACTAACAAAGAAATAAGAGAATAATAAGTTTTTTTTTTATTAATTTCTTTCATTATTATAATGCATACATTGATAAAATAATAAATCATTAATAAAATTTAAAATTTATGGTATTTATTTTTTATAAATATATCTTATTTATATATAATAGTATTATAAATAAAAAGGGTTTTTGTTTTTATAATTTATTATTTAGGTTAAAGTATACCTCCTAATTATTTTAGTAAACATTATATCTTTTCAGTATATAAGATACTTAAAATTTTATCACCAAAATCATACAACAACGATTTTATCAACTTCAAACTTAATTTTAAATTATAAATATAACTGATAGTAGAAGATTTTTCATATAATTGGTGACCTAAAATGTGCTTTTAGGAATTGTTTTAAATAATAAGTAAATCTTTAAACTATCTAAAAACTTAATATAAAATTGACCTGATCAAGTCACTATTAGTAACTGGTAGAAGATTTAATATTCCATGATTTATTCTTTTTATATATTTTCAAAGAAAGTATTTAAAATTTTAAAAATTAACATTTGATTGAGGTTTACAATAACATGTGATGTGAATTTCTTTGTTATCTTTAATTTTATTGTAGTCAAAATTCATGCTCGTTGTCAAAAAATAAGAATAATGTTTAACGAATGTTTAGTTTATTCCTAAATTTTTCTGGATTAAAAAAAATTAGTTTTCAAAATTAAAATACTGAAATAATGACCAAAAGAAAAGATCAAAACAAAAGTAACAATTGTTATAATGCAAAAATTTGTAGTATTCTATGAATGTTTTGATAAAATTTAATAATATATATATATATATATATATATAGACACGCAGAGAAATTTACACACAATAATATTAGCTTATTAAAATTTGAAAAATATATTACTAAAATAATAAAATACTAAGATAATTTTATTAAAATGCTTTTGATAGTTTTATTAAGATACAATTTTAATGCTATAAAGTTAAGCATTTGAAGTGCTAAATCATTCAAAGGTGGTATTCAAGAAATCATAATTGTATACTAAATAAAATACATTTTTCTATTAGAGCTCTTCTATATATATATATTTTTTTTTAAAAAAGACCAAATCAAGACAAGAGACAGGCTCTAAGACAGATATTTGTACTATTTAAGATAAAATTATATTCTTCATATAATTTTTTCTTATTTTTATAAAATTACTAATAATAGAATTTTAAAATTTTCGTACTATATAAATATGCATATAAGACTATAAAATAGAAAATAACCAAGAAACAAAAGAAAGAGTAACATATATCTTATTAGAAATAATATTATATAATAAACCTAAAAAATTAATTACTTAAATTTCTTCGAAGATTATATGGAAAAAATTCAAGTATCACATCTTTCCTTTTTTTAAACATGTTATATCAAATTTATTCTTAAGAAAAACTAAAAAAGATCTAAAATAAATTAAACTTAAACATAATTACTTGTATTTAAAATAATTATACCACTGTGTTTTATTTAATATTTAAGAATTAATTTAAAAAATATTATTATGCTAAATCATATTTACATAGTTGAAAATTTGGTATAAATCAAAGATATGTAAAAATAACTTACGTATAAGTTTTATTTATTATTTAATATGTTCATAAATAATAGATTAAGCTCAACTATAATATTTATGTTTAAGTCTATGCATTGTGTGAAAAGGGCTTTCATTTATGTCTTGGTAAGACTATGAATAGGTTAAGATGAGATAGTTAAGGTAAAAATACATAAATATTTTGTGAAAAAGTAGAAATTTGGTTCAAAAAAGATTAATTAAAAAAATATTAGAGTTAATACTTAAGAATTAGGCAAGTTTAGATTGATTGAAAATTGTTAAATCTTAAAGGATCTATAAATTAGATTAATCTAAAATTTAAGATGCTTATAGAATACATAAAGACCAAGATCTGCACAAATTTTGTTAAGAAAGAAAGTTGAATTAAAATAAATTAGCTACTTGAGATAGTTATCAAACTTACAATGTAAAGCCAAACAATGTCAATGATGATTAACTTGTAACATATATTACTTTTATAGCAATGTAAATAACTAAAGAAGATAATAGTGTATAAATATTAAAACTAATCTAATGACTAAATTAAGATCTCTATTTTTTAATAATTCATAATTAAAATTTATATCTGTTTTGTTTTATTTTATATTTATATTTTTTTTTATTTTGTATTTTTT